TTAAATTGAAATAAAGAGAAACAAAAAAAACATTAGTTTATACATTAACAATTTCCATCATTTATATAAATTATTTAATACTTTATTTTATATGTAATGTGCATTTAGAGATATTTTATGTTTTTATCTTGTGAACTTTATTTACACTATATTTGTAACTTTCTTTATCTAAGGAACTTCATTTTCTAGTAACTTTAGTTCAATCATTTAGTAATTTTGTTGTTGGCTTGTGTTATAGTAAAGCATTAGAACATGTGCCTCGATCATTCTTTGCTTTTCTTCATTTTTCTCATAGCGTCTATATAATAAATTAATTTCGATTAATTCTTTTCTCCGACCTCGATTAACACTTTATCTATCATTATACTCTTATCGTCGTTTCTTATTCGTATATATATATATATATATATACTATTTCTTTACTGAATAAGCGAAGAGAAAAAATACAGAGATTTCGAATATAAAGTATTAGTCACTCTATGCAAGTACGAACACTAATATTGTTTTACACTTTCATATTCATTCCTATCGTACGTATGCTTTGCTTTTATTTATATATTCTTTTATGTTTTTGAACATCTTGTTGTTTTTATTCAAATTCATTTGAGAAAGATACAACATAGATAAGAGTATAATAATAGAATTTTGTGAAACACGAACTGAAAGGAGTGTTGAAATGTTTAGGGGCAGAAATTTGCACACAGTAGTCTCCCCACACACATGCAGACGTGACTGACACGTGTTCTATTCACTGTCTTCGTCAAGAACCTCGTCGGAAAATGTCAAGAATTCGACTCTGCAATTGGTGCCGGTGATCGGATCCGTTCAACAGGAATATCATGAAATCTACTGTTTCCGCGCTGGATTATTCGACCTGGAGAACAATCAAGGAGCATCCAGTAAGTTACTTTTATTCTTTCTTCACAAACAAACGAAGATCTTGGATTAATCTTGACAGTGTGGGTGTGGATGAGTATTCCTACTTCACTCAAACTCGCATACACTCATATCTACGCCACACCCTCAAGTATAACTTTCTAGTTTAGAATTTTCAATTAAAAGAATTATTTAGTTTATGAGTAAAAAAGAAGATTTTAGTCGATTTTATTTAAATCATTCAAATAAAAATAGTTTTCATTTAAAAACATTCTCCTAAATTAAACTTTTATGATAATCAAATAAACAATTTTTGAATTAAAACATCTAAAATAATAAAGAAATTATCTGAAATTAGTTTTATTCGATTAAAAATTAAATTTAATAAAAAGAAAATTTTATTTTACTAAAACAAACTCAAATACAAGTTTTTCTTCTTAGTTTTGCCTTTTTTTCATTTAAAAATAATGAAGAAGATTTTAAATAAAAAGAAAATCTTTTATTTTAGAACGAATTCCAACAAACAAGAATCAGTTTCAACGATCTGCAATTATTGTTGCCGGAGGACATGGATTTAGAAAGGAATTAAATCAACTTTCGCATCTGGGTGGGATCTACATTCAAAATGGTAAATGAATTAGTTGCAGGTGGTTTCGGTAAAGGAAATGATCTTAATCAACTTAATAGTCCTACTTATGTCTTTATTGATGAAGATTATTTTCTTTATATATCAGATGAACAGAATCATCGTGTAATGAAATGGACACGAAGTGCAAAAGTAGTTATTATTGTTGCTGGTGGAAATGGTAAAAGAAATGATCTCAAACAATTGAATCATCCTCAAGGAATGATTGTTGATCATTTGGGTCACATCTATGTGGCAGATCGTTATAATCATCGAATAATGCGTTGGTGTGAAGGAGAAGACGAAGGTGAAATTGTTGTTGGTGGAAATGGGGAAGGACGAAGACTCAATCAATTGAAGAATCCCACTGGTCTAGCATTTGATGACGACGAGAACCTCTACGTTGCTGATCAGAAGAATGATCGAATATTAAAATTCGAAAAAAATTTTGACTAAACTATTTTTTTTGTAGAAATAAATTTTGTCAAAATAAAATTAAGAAGAACTTTTGAGTATACAATGTTTTGTTTTTGTCAAAAAAAGTAAAAATCATTTGAATTTGTGAAAATTCTTTTAATAATTTCAAAGAAAACATTGATTTTAGAGCATGTTTATTTAAATTCCGATAAAATCTTTTAAAATTTTTATTTTTACAGATTGAACTTCGACGACAAAGGTGGGTGTGAATAGAAATAGTAGATATCCACACCTCTCAAGCATATCCATATGAAAGAGAATACTGTGTATTAAAATACGATAATTAATCTATGCTTAAACCTTTGCTGTGCTGTTTCTTATCAACACTCGCAAATCAAATAAATGCATTTAACATGATCTCATTTATAGTACACGTGCATTCTAGTCTGATTATATTTGCTCTTGATTTCACACTAAACAGTGAATCGTAGTTCATCGGAACCCTCTAATCAGAAAAAATGAAATTAAAATATTTCTATTTTCATTTTTATGCTAGACTAAATAATTTTATTAGAAAAAAATAGAAAATCATAATTATTTTGTTACAAATGCAAGAAATGTTGACCAAACTAGTGAACACATATTGACAAACAAAACGCTAAAAGTTTAAAGAAATATTTATCATATATATTTATTTTTGAATTTTGTTACTTACCGATGATGTATAGGAATAAAATAGAAATTAGTCAATTGAATAGCAGGCCATGCACAATAATTAGCTTTCATAACGGTTGGAAAATCCTGTAATTAAAATTTTATAAGAAAATAATTCAAAATAAAGATTTAATTTACTTGATAGAAACGTTTCTTTGCTTCACTAAACGATTTTCCACTTGATAATGGAAGATATAGAAGAATAACACTATTGAGAAGTGGTGCAGCAATGAGCTAAATATAATAAATATTTTCTCATTATTATTTGCTCAAAAAATCATATATCAACTTGATCAGCAATCATCATTTTCACAGGTTTTAATTTAGCACCGGCAAAATATTTATCTAATCCATAATACCAATATCGAAGAAATGGTCCCTATAATAAAATAAAGAAAAATATTCTATTATAACATATATATGAAATAAATATACTGAGAATAAATAACCAAATGCAGCAAATCGAGTAACACGAGGCCAATCAATAGTACTTAATGTTCGTTTTTCAATAATTGTCTGTGAAATAATATTTCCCAAACCCATCGTTGTTCCTATTTGATTAATTAATTAATTATCATATATTTATTTCAATATAAATATAATACCTGTAGTTAAACTCATTGCTAATAAAGGATTTTTCAAAACAAATTTATTATAACTTCTTAATATCGCTGCCATCTGAGAATAGAAGAAAAATATATACATAAATAAATATGAGATGTTTATTTTTATTTTAAAATCAAACGAACAAATAGGAATA